GAAATCATGTCAGAGAAAAGAAGAAAAAGCAGTATCTTCAGTTTCATTTTAGCATGTTAGTTCATCTAACTCTTTCATTACCTTATTCTAGCAAGTCACTGGACCACCAAATCACGGGCTCTCTTTAGGCTCCGACATTCCCTGAAACTTTGTAGGGCCATTTGCTATCACCATCTCTTTTTAAATGGCTAGTTTTAACATCACTATTTTTATATTGCCTCACTTAAAAAGAAGATAGGTAAGATATGCTTTAACATGCAATGCTATGCATAGAAACGATGTACCCATAATAATAGCCAGTAATATTGCTTCCATGAGTAGCATGTTTAATAAAATGAAGAGACCGCCCAGAGTCACTTCCTTGTGAGATGGGTGGTGTCTAAATTTGAAATATAAATAAATAAATAGGTAATTCTTATACACCTTTGAGTAAGAAAAGTACTCTGTCCACTTCCCAAAGCCCAGGAGGACAACAAAAACATTTCTATGAAGTTTTCCCAAGCGTATCACCAGTCCGGTGCTTTCTTAATACAAACCACCAATAGTCCACTTGGTATATACAAGAAAGAGTTATTATACTTTATAAAGCATTTTAGGGCATAAATGTTTAGATTACTAATGGATTAATCTAGCAGGACAACCCCTCTGCAAACTAAGATATTTGCAAGTAGACCTGCTACAGTCAGTAGAAGAGAAATCAGCAATCAGATACAAACCCCTGAGGAGGGCAGATGTGCCTTTTAAGTAGTTGAGGATTAAGCTCGATCTTTGACTATATGCAGTACATTCAAAGCTGTAGAACTGCAATGAAAATCTGCCTGAGAAATTCTGGGCAAATTCTACAGAAAATGCAAGCTCATGTTTAATTCTTGCTAAGCAATGTTCCATAAATGCCATTTTCCTGTATGCTGTTACCAAACACTGTTGTCCTTGTTGATTGTTGCTGAAAAGCACTACTGCTAAAATTTAACTGTTCAACTGTTAACTGATTAATCACCTTTTAAAAATTCAAAGTTCAAATAGTGCGATATATGACTCAACACGAATTATAAATTCATACTAGGTCACATTTAATGCGAGCCCAAATTCAGTTAGTGCGAGGATAGCACTTGCGCAGTTGAGGGTTTTATACGCTAATCATCGCAGGTGCATCATGGAGGAAAAGAAGGTTCTGTTCAAGGAAAGCTAAAAAAAGAAGAGGCTCATTTTGAAGAACTACAACAGAATATAGGCAACAGCACATACACTCTGGATATGGGTTTATCCTCCTCCTTTGTCCGCTTGGCTTATTTATTTTAAATATTTATGAGATCTATCTATCTATCTAGAAAATAGATAGGAATGATATTTAGAATGTTTTTGTTTTTATTTTGCTTTCTATAACTGCTCTGTGACTTTCTTGAAAATAAATTTAAGTTGTAAATATATTCTTTTAATCCTTTACTGTTATATTTCATTAATAGAGATATAAAAATTTATGTTAAGAATTTTTTATTGCCTATTTCTGTCAAGCTGGAACCAATTACCTTATTTTCCATAGATATATCACTTTGAATAGTGCAAATATGAATAATGCAACCATTTCATGGGATTCGTTATCAGCACTAACTGAGACCTACCTGTAATCAATAAATCTAGCAATTACAGTCATATTGTACATACAAACTGGCACACTTTTATCTTAAGGAATCATTTATTATCTTAAGGGATCAGCTTTGTTGTACTCTGCCCACAGTCACTTATTTGTGAGATGGGCAGCCATATAAATATGATGAATAGATCAATACAATAAATTTACAGATAGCAGAGCTTAACTTTTAAAATCTGACCCCATGGCCTAGAAAAGGATCATACCTTCTGGAGAAAGATGAGGGATGGAAAGAAGTCTGCTGCAAGATGATCTTTCTGCAACTCTAAAGCTGACTTGTCGTTCAAGTTGCTCTCGAATATGTTGAATGTCAGGCAACTGTTTCTTTCTCTCTTCTCTAGCAGACTCAACAGATATTAAGACTCTGTTCAAATGATCACTCGGGATGCCATGTACTCCCTGGGTGGGAGGGTTTTTTAAAAAATTAAAAATAATTTTACTTTTTTCAGGAGATATATAAATTAGCCTTGGGAAGGGAACTGATGGAATAGTTACATCACTACTTTAGATGCACTGCCTTCTGTGCTAAGATTTGGTCTTTCACCAAAGACACTAATCTTTTTCCTGTTCAGAGTTGGTTATATTAGGCTATTTTTTGTGTGACATAAGGGTCAGAATGCTAGGCAGGCACACCCAAAACGCATTAGACTGAAAAAGACTTTGTTAAAATTCCTTCACTCATTTGAACAATTTAAAGTGATCTTACGGATTTAATTCCCAAGGATTCCAACTTTTCTGCTAAGGTCTGCTCCAAAACAGTTCTCAGCTCTTTCGTTAAAGAAGGATCGCTCTTCAAAGTATTTATTATATGAGACTTATTCTTTCCTGTTTTGGGCACTTGCTTTTCTATTTCTGAAACAAACCAGGTATTTTTCTTTAAAATCACATCACAAAATCAATATACACTTCATCAAAATATTTGCAACATATCATGCACTCACCTGAATTTTCTGTCTGAACAGATTCTAATATTTCTACATCAAAAAGCAAAACAAAAACATAACTGAATATAATCGGGCTAGCTGTGCAAGATCAAAATCCAACTCTTTCCTTGGCCACAGCTGCATCTGACAAATCATGTTATACATTAGATATCAATTTAATTATACATACAGTAAATCCATTAAAACCAAAAAAATTAAGTTTATTATTGATTTTAGTACACCTACTCTAAGAATGATTTTCAATCCAAACCAATGTAGGTAAGCTTGAAATGTGATATTAGAATCCAAGCTATACTAGTTCATTGAATACAATTTATCATCCACATTAAATTGTTACTTATCATGTTTGTTATTGTTAGCATTTTCACATATGATTTTTCTGCAGGGTTTATCTGTATCCAATTACTTAAAAAACTACTGCTATCACAAGTAACAGAGAAGCCTGCATGCATAAATACCTTCAATCACTGACTCCCTGAAGGCAATTGTAAATCCTAGGTCTGTGTGAATAACGGAGGAGTATTCAAACAGTGGACTGACAGCCACACAAGCCAAGAATTGTAATCAAATGAACTGTGAGAAATTCCAACAGCACCCCAAAATAAAGAGAGTTTCATTTCAGAACCAAGGCAACTGGTTTGCCCTCTTCTCCAAGAAAGCCAAGAAAAAGGAGGATGCCAGCTAACTCAATTGTCCATATGTGTGAGAAAGTTTATTTGGAGGAGACACACTCTGGCTGGACATAAGGGATGGTTACAACTAGATCTAGAGAGACTAACGGTGGGCGCTAATTGGCCAAAAGGAAGGCCAAGCGATAGGAAAAGCTACTTTTGTCAAAGGGATCGTAGAAACACTGAAGCTCAACTGAAAGTGTTGATGTAAGACTTTAAATTTTGTTTCTTCTGCTAGAAAACAAGATTGCTGTCAACATGACATTGCGCGGTCTCTCTCTCTCTCTCTCTCTCTCTCTC